CAGTGGCTAAGAATGGCCTGCCCAGGATGAGAGGATCTACTGGTTCCTCATCCATTTCCAGCACAACAAAATCTGTTGGAACCTCAAAACCACCAATCTTAACAGGTAGATCTTCCAACATACCAACAGGCAATCTAACTGATCTATCTGCAAGGATAAGAGAGATCCTTGCAGGCTTGAACACTCTAAAGCCCAGCTTCTTTGCTATGGAGAACGGCATCAAGCTGACTGATGCTCCTAGATCACAAAGACATCCAGAGAATAGAAGAGGTCCAATGGCACAAGGGAGTGTGAAACTCCCTGGATCAGTTAACTTCCTTGGGATGGACTTCTTCTGAATGATAGCACTGCATTCATGACTTAGTACTACCATGCCTTGAAGCTCTTTTGTCTTGTTCAGAATGGCATCCTTCAAGAACTTCCCCATCTTTGGCATCATTAAGAATGCATCAATGAGAGGCATTGTGAGTGGTGTCTCCTTGAGTGCCTTCTCAAATACAGCTCTTGCCTTGTCCACTAGTTGCTTCTTGAATCTCCCTGGAAATGGGAGCTTTGGTTGGTATGGAGGTGGTGGCACATATACTTTTTCTGGTTCTGGTTCCTTTGCTACCTCTTTACCCTTTTCTGTCCTTGGTTTCTCAGCAACTTGATCATCCTTTAAGGCTGCCTCCCCCTCAGGTTGATCATTGTCCTCAATGATCACTTTGTTGTTCTCAATACCGGGTAACTCTTTTCCACTCCTCAGTGTAATGGCCTTGGCATATTCCTTGGGGTTGGGTTCTGGTTTTCCAGGTAGGTGGCCTTGGTTCCTTGAGCTTGATGCCTGGTTTTGCTTCAGTTCCTTGATTTCCTGTTGCATGGCTGCATTCTGGCTTGCAAAGATCTGTTGACCCTGAAGTAGTTGTTGCAGAATACCAACCATATCTGTACCCATCTGTGGCTGCTGTTGAACCATTGGTGGCTGAAACTGTTGTTGAACCGGCGCTTGCTGTTGGAACTGTGGTGGACCAAACCCTTGTGGTGCCTTTTGCTGTTGTGAGGTGTAACCAGTGCCCTGAAATGGTTGCTGTTGCTGACCAAAACTCTGATTCTGACCAAACTGATTCTTGGGTTGGAATGACCCTTGAAAGTTGTTCTTGGGAACAAAGTTCTTTGGAGCTTGAGAATTGGGATAGACCTGGTCTTGTGGGTTAGCTACATTGGTGTTCTTGTAAGAGAGGTTTGGATTGGCATTACAATATTGATATCTCTGGAATCTCTGATTCCCAATGTAGTTGAGCTCCTCTTGGGTAAGACCTTCTTCACTTATGTTCTCAAAGATTTGAGAAGGTTCCTCATACTCTCCAACAAAATGCATTGGCTTCTGAGTGGTGAATTTCAGCTTGTCTAATTCACTCCTCAACTCCTTAACTTCTCTGGTGAGCCTCTGTTCTGAGCTTGAACCTTCAGACCTATTTGATCTGTCATAGTCTTCACCATAAGTATCATTTCTCAATGCTAAGTTCTCCACTAGCTCTAAAGCAGCATGTATCTCTTTACCCAGAAAGTTCCCATTGGAAGCAGTATCCAGCTTTTCTAATCTTGGGAAGAGCTCCTCTATAAAGTGTGCTGAGAAGAGAAGCCTCACTAAACCCATGGTGTGGGCATTGGTTTGTGTAGCTCCTGAATCTCTCATATGCTTCACCAAAACTCTCATTGCTGTGCTGAGTGAAGCTAGAGATTTGGTTCCTCAGTTTTGCAGTTCTTGAGGTGGAGAAGAACTTAGATAAGAATGCTTGCTTGCATTGCTCCCAGGTTTGAATGGAGCCTCTTGGAAGATTTTTCTCCCATTGATGAGCTTTGTCACCAAGACTGAATGGGAATAGTCTTAGCTTGAAGCTGTCTTCTGAAACTCCATTAATCTTGGTCAGATCACACACCTTATCAAACTGATCCAAGTGTTCCAAGGGATCTTCCATTGCTAACCCATGGAACTTTGAATTCTGGACCATATTCAGCAATGATGCCTTCACTTCAAAGTTGTTGTTTTGCACAGGTGGTGCCTGAATACCAGCTCCATACTGATGAGCATTGGCCCTGTCATTCTCTCCAACATAGACTTGGGGTTGCTCATATCTTCTTTGCTGTTGTTGGAAAGGGTGGGATTGGTGGTGCACTTGTTGTCTTTGCTGAACATTGGCCTGATGCCTCTGTTGATGAGCTTGAACTTGTCCCTGGTGGACATAAGCTTGTTGGTGCACCTGTTCCTGATGAACATTACCCTGATGAAACCCTTGACCAACTCCATTACCAGCTCCATTTCCTTGAGCCTGTTGCTCATGGACTGGTTGTTCTATGTCTACCACGTGATCTCCTTGTTCTGCCATCTCAGCCTGATCAATCTGTCTACCACGTCTGTCCCTTCTCCTCCTTGGTACCAAAAGATTGATATTGTCGTTGAGAGGGAAAGGTGGGCCACAGCTTCTTGATCTAGACCTGGTGTTCATACACCTGAAATCACAAACAGAACTTGAAAGTAATCAGTAATAACAAGAAAGTAAGCACTTGATCTCAAGAACAGATCAGAGCTTAATGCTAAACAAACCACAATTTGGCAACGGCGCCAATTGATAGACAAGACTTTTTAGGGTCTCAGGGCTATCAATCCCCTTGTCAAAGTAGCACAAAGAGGTTAATCAATCTAAGAATGTGGTGATAGACACTAAGCTATATGATCAAGTTCTTAATTCAAGCAAACAAGAGTGGGTTTTGATTAATCTAGAGACAACTACAAACATAAACAGGTTTAAAGACTAATGACAATGACTAATCAAGAACTAAGCAATGACAAATGATGTGAATATGATATGATGGAGGCATGAGATTCTAGACATGATAGTTGGTTAGGGTGCTTTGGTGCTAAACTAGAAATGCTAATGACAATGATGAGACATGATTCAAATGATTAAGAACTCAAATCTAGGTTAATCTTCTCATGAAGGTATTAACCCCTATACTAATCCATTTTCAAACCAAATTCCCATTTGTGAAACATGAATCAATATGCATTAATAAACAGCTCTTAATGATCATTCAAGCAAATAACAATACATCATCATGCAGAAAAATGCTTAAACCTCTAATACAGCTCTTTCAGGAATTTCATCAAACACTTTTGGTGCATGAAATTCCCAGAATCTAGATCTCAAGTGATTATCAAGGATCTAGCATAGAGAACAGCTGTTTAGAGAGATGAATCAATGAATCTAGCCCTAAGCACTCCTAATCTAACACTTTAGCACCCTAACCTACACATCTAGAACCTCATTAAGGTGACTACTCACTAATCATACTAATCTCTCTTAAACCTTTGCAAGTTGAGAAGATTAGCATGATTAATGATGAGAAATGGAGATGGAGATGATAGATTCAAAAGAAAACAGCTTTAAACCCCCAGATCTCTTAAAACTCTCTTGATTAAACACTCAAATATAGATATTTCTCTTCTTAATAGAGTCTTTCACAAAAGAGGCAAGAGACAAAGGGAATAAAACTTAGTTCTCTCCCAAAAAACCCTAAAAAGTATTTATACTTCCTTAAAAACGAACCGGGTCAGCCCGGAACAAACCAGGTCCTGACCCGGCTTTAATGGGTAAAGTGGGAATTACTGCGGGTTGGTCCAGTATGTCCCAGTAGCAGACCTAAAAAGTATTTATACTTCCTTAAAAACGAACCGGGTCAGCCCGGAACAAACCAGGTCCTGACCCGGCTTTAATGGGTAAAGTGGGAATTACTGCGGGTTGGTCCAGTATGTCCCAGGTAGCAGACCTAAGTCGCAGTAGATGAAGACTTGTCTTGTGAAGCCTGAATCGCCTTGTCTTAGCCGCACGCCTAAGTAGGAGTGTTTTGCGAGTGTTGCTGCGGCTTGGTCTCCTTCCTCTCCAACTCGCATGCCTAAGTCGCACGATTGTGGACTTAGCATTTCTCTTGCTCGGGAGCTTCAGATCTCTTCCAGTGATAGTTTACCCGCACATTTCAACTCGCAGCATCAGCATTCAGGCGTTCATCTTCAGGCCTGCGGGTTAACCAAGTCGCAAGACCATCTCGCAGCATCCAGAGCAGCTTAGACCACTTCGCATTCCGGAGAGTGTAACTCCTATGAGACTTGTCCGAATTGAATGATTTCGGTTGCAGAAGACAGAGGACTCATGTATCTCCAACTTTGGTGAAGGAAGCTTCGGTGCTTGGGAAGTTTAAGGCTTCCTGGAGGGCACATCTTTGCAGTGCATGTACACGACCAGAGAGAGGCGTCTAGGCATGTGTCCATTCCGGAGACCGTATCTTCTTCCTCATAGATCCGAATTGAATGCTCTTGGACGTTCTGTAAAGAAGACTCAAATGTCTCTGATTCTCATGAAGGACCCGGAAACTGAATCGGCTTGGAAGTGCACCGTCCTTCGCATCCTTCAGAACTGATCTGCTCGGTCCGGAATACCTACGAGACAGGGGTTCCTTCCGACGAGCTTAACTCTCTGCTCACGCGTCCGTATTCCACGATTCCACTTGCTATGAGACCGTGATCCAATGCTCTCCAACTTCTATGAAGCACCCGCCATCTGAATCGGATCGGAAGGTTCCCCGGACAGGCGATTTCTGAGACATGTTTGCACCCGGAGATTTTGGCCGATACACTTCACTCGCGGTACGTGTTTTGGTCGACAAAGTCCACCCGCGGTACGTGAAAATGGTCGACAAAACCTTCCTGGCCAGCGAGAATGGCCGATAACCTCCATAGACCCAATTTTTGCCACTTTTCAAGCTTTGATCACCATTCCACCTCCTGGATTCATCTTTTCAGCTCCAAATGCACCTCATGAACACTCAAAACATGCAAAGACTCATTGAGACCTAATGCATCTCCTAAGTTCTAAAACAAACCCTAAGGACATAAAATGCATGGAATAAAACATGATTTATAATGAATTATGCAACCTAAATGATGCAAATTATGAACATATCACTGCGTATCGGGATATCGGTGATTCGAGTGGTGAATGGGGTGCTTTGACTCTCCTCCAGTACTCGGTCGATTTCCGGCGCTGAGCTGGTCGCCTGATGAACCAGCGAGGTCATGGCTTGCAACCTAGCTTTCATTTCGGCTAGCTCGTTGATCGGCGGTCGACCATTGCCTCGTTGTGGCTCCGTCTCTCGCTCAGGAAGCCTTGTTTCTACCTCTTTGCCATTCGAGGTATGCTGAGGATGGGTCGGTGGAGGCGGTGAATCTCCGAACAGAGCCCGTTGCAGACGTTGCACAGCTGGCGTCGGTCGCTCTAGGGCTTGTGTTTCATATGAATGTAGACCGTTCACTTGATCTTGGCACGAATTTTGTGCTGCAGCCAGCTCGTCTAGTCGGGTGCTCGTCTGCTGGTTTATCTCCTCCATCCTAGCCATCATGGTTTCGAGTATCGTGGTTACATCAACGCGCTCAGGTACTGCTGGATTGATCTCGGGTGCTTGGGGGGTTGGGCCCCGTCGCTGTCCGTTATTGGTAACTCGTTGTTCGTGATATTTCGAACGTCAGTCGACGGTGTGCTCGTTTTTTCCGCGACCGTCAATGTTGCTGGTCCGATCTTAGCTTTAGTCGATGTAGCTGGAGTTCCTGACATTATCGAGCTACTCTTTGCGTGGAAAGAAATCTCTGAGCCCCACGGTGGGCGCCAATTGTAGTAACGTAGGAGCACGAGGGGGGTAAAATGGTAATCGAAAGGTAGAGCTCGGAGATCCTTGTTTAATGAGTTTTAGCTCGATAAAGAAGATATAAGAGCGAGGTTATTTATGCGATGTAGAGGTCGAGTAAATACTTAGAAAATTATGAATTCTTTGTATTAATTGCTCGGCAGTCAAAATCTGATGCGGTAGTAAATGAATCTACAGGGCTATTTATACTACAGGTTAAATCGGGGCAGGGTAGCTTAATGGTCGGTCAGATCTATCTGTCCGACCGCCTTATGAAATATCACGGTGGCGAGTTGATGACAAGGATCATAAAATATCGATGTAAAAACGGTCTCGTTTCGACGTCCAAGATAGGCCTTCGATATCGCTTGGGCCTCAAAAAAGAATTATCGGACCAAGGTTAAATCATCAAAAGTGGGCTGTGCTCAGCCCATATCCAACAATTATCATTTGGAAGTGGCCAAAAATGATAAACAAAACTAGAAAGCCCTTGGTACTTAAGAAATAGATCAAGCTTGTAATGATTAATAAGAACGTTTTGTGCTATAGCAAAGATTACATCTACTTAAGCATATTTTGGTTTTGTTAATAGTTATTTTGCTTTTGTTAATAGTTTATTCGGAAATAAAGAAGATAAGATTAAGAACGTTTTATGCTATAGCAAAGAAAAGATGCAGAAAGCTATAAATATGATGTACTTGTGAACAAGTCTTAGACGTTTATTGGTGGCTTTATGCAGACTTACAATTTAACGACTGAAATTTTAGTTGACTTCTTTATTTCCTTTTCTTAAGTTGCTTAGGCTCCTAAACAGACTTACAATTTAACGACTGAAATAATGAGCAGATTTAAATTCATACAAAAGAGTATCTTAACAGTAAATTTGCATGCTACTCGTCTTGATTCCAAGTAATTTCACAGATTAATAGGATAAGACTAAATCTTGTAGACCACAACAAACCTTAAAGTATTGCTTCATCCTTCTTCACTGATTTTGATGCAATTTCATCAAATGATTCATCTGTAACCTGTTCAAAAGACATATATGTTAACGGTTTTAGAAACGTGTGTTTATACACCAATTTATATATCAAACCGCCCCTAGCATATGAATCACTTCATTCACGATACGGTCTCTCTCATCCAACATGGAATTTAATGATGGTGCTGAGTCAAATTGTCTATTGCCAAAGGATCTTGAATCGGCATAAAAAACAATATATGTTCAAGTTACAAGTAACCTCATCCTCCTTTTCTTTTTAGTTGGAGGATTTAGAAGGAAACATCAAAATTCTCCCCATCAAAACTAAACCAAAAATGAAAGATAAACCAATTCTTTTTTGAAGATTACCTTTGACATTGAAGGTACCTCTTAAGGGCTTGGAGAATACACTACTCCTGTCGCATTGAGATGACTACCATAATCAGAACTCTCTCTGGTAGCAAACTGTAAAGGCTGATCACTAAGGTCACTATTTGGAGCGGTTGTTTGATCATATTGCATTTGCTGCTCTGCACCATCAGTTACTCAATTTTTTATAACTCATTTGTTTCTATTAAACTGAAATAACCTCATATAGTCAAATGGTTTTGTATAACTTGGATTTATACTGATTCCTTGGTCGTTTTAGGAGATGTGAATATGGTCAGCACATTATATCAAATAGATAAATGTTTTCATTTCGTCAACAGAAATTCCAAAGCGATTAATTCTTAGCGAACTTAAGAACTTCTTGTGGTCCCAATCAAATTTTGAAAAAAAAACTGTCATTTTAAGTTTTCAAGATATTGCCAAATAATCTAGAAAAAATATTATATTCTTCTGATTATCATATGGTAGTGGCCAAAAAAGATAAATAAAACTAGAAAGCCCTTACTCCCTAAGAAATAGACCAAGCTTGTAATGCCGGTAGACATTTAACAAAAAACCTTTATTTCTTGCGTCTTCTACTTAAGAATACTTAAGAAATAGTCGAAGCAGCCACTTCAGTCGTCTTCTCAACTCTGACCTCAACATCAACAAAAATAATCCAGTCCTCGTGACCAATACCATTATATTCAAAAGCAAACTTGAGAACATCTTGTGGTCCCAATCAAATTTGAAAAAGAAATCCTTGTCATTTTTTTGTTTTCATGTTATTACCTAATAATCTAGAAAAAATTTATATATTCTGATTATCATTTGGAAGTGGCCAAAAATGATAAACAAAACTAGAAAGCCCTTGGTACTTAAGAAATAGATCAAGCTTGTAATGATTAATAAGAACGTTTTGTGCTATAGCAAAGATTACATCTACTTAAGCATATTTTGGTTTTGTTAATAGTTATTTTGCTTTTTTTAATAGTTTATTCGGAAATAAAGAAGATAAGATTAAGAACGTTTTATGCTATAGCAAAGAAAAGATGCAAGAAAGCTATAAATATGATGTACTTGTGAACAAGTCTTAGACGTTTATTGGTGGCTTTATGCAGACTTACAATTTAACGACTGAAATTTAAGTTGACTTCTTTATTTCCTTTTCTTAAGTTGCTTAGGCTCCTAAACAGACTTACAATTTAACGACTGAAATAATGAGCAGATTTAAATTCATACAAAAGAGTATCTTAACAGTAAATTTGCATGCTACTCGTCTTGGTTCCAAAAAACAAGACAATGACTTGATTCAACTCCGTTATGCTTAATTGTGATGATGACTTATGATTGTGAAATGATGAATAGCACATAGCGAATATTGCATATTTAGTAGTAATTTCACAGATTAATAGGATAAGACTAAATCTTGTAGACCACAACAAACCTTAAAGTATTGCTTCATCCTTCTTCACTGATTTTGGTTGCAATTTCATCAAATAATTCATCTGTAACCTGTTCAAAAGACATATATGTTAACGGTTTTAGAAACGTGTGTTTATACACCAATTTATATCAAACCGCCCCTAGCATATGAATCATTTCATTCACGATACGGTGTCTCTCATCCTACATGGAACTTAATGATGGTGCTGAGTCAAATTGTCTATTGGCAAAGGATCTTGAATCGGCATAAAAAAAACAATATATGTTCAAGTTACAAGTAACCTCATCCTCCTTTTCTTTTTCGTTGGAGAATTTAGAAGGAAACATCAAAATTCTCACCATCAAAACTAAACCAAAAATGAAAGATAAACCAAATCTTTTTTGAAGATTACCTTTGACATTGAAGGTACCTCTTAAGGGCTTAGAGAATACACTACTCCTGTCGCATTGAGATGACTACCATAATCAGAACTCTCTCTGGTAGCAAACTGTAAAGGCTGATCACTAAGGTCACTATTTGGAGCGGTTATTTGATCATATTGCATTTGCTGCTCTGCACCATCAGTTACTCAATTTTTTATAACTCATTTGTTTCTATTAAACTGAAATAACCTCATATAGTCAAATGGTTTTGTATAACTTGGATTTATACTGATTCCTTGGTCGTTTTAGGAGATGTGAATATGGTCAGCACATTCAAAATATCAAATAGATGAATGTTTTCATTTCGTCAACAGAAATTCCAAAGCGATTAATTCTTAGCGAACTTAAGAACTTCTTGTGGTCCCAATCAAATTTTGAAAAAAAAACTGTCATTTTAAGTTTTCAAGATATTGCCAAATAATCTAGAAAAAATATTATATTCTTCTGATTATCATATGGTAGTGGCCAAAAAAGATAAATAAAACTAGAAAGCCCTTACTACCTAAGAAATAGACCAAGCTTGCCGGTGGACATTTAACAAAAAACCTTTATTTCTTGCGTCTTCAACTTAAGCATACTTAAGAAATAGTCGAAGCAGCCACTTCAGTCGTCTTCTCAACTCTGACCTCAACATCAACAAAAATAATCCAGTCCTCGTGACCAATACCATTATATTCAAAAGCCTTACTCACGATCACTGAATCTGACAAGGGAAAAAAGCGACCACTCCATTCAACCTGAAAGAAAACAACCAGTACTCCTTTATTGTTATTGATGTTAAAAAACAAAACTTGTAAAACAAGGCAGCGAAGAGCCCTACCTTCACGGCAGAAGTGGTGATTTCCCCAATTTCTGAGAAACACTTTGAATGCTCCTTGCGTAATTTTTCTGTAAATAGACAAACAAAAGGAAGCAAAATTAGCGAATAAGAAACATCACCAGCAAAATATAGTTTTACTTTAGAAGTCGTTTCACCTTTGAAAACAGAAACGTTATCAGTCTTGTGAAGGAGAACCACGAGACGAGTGTCAAGACTTGTCTCAACATACACGCAGTGCATCTCCGGCGAGGAATTATTCATACTCTTTTGTGTATTTGGAATCAGGTGATCCGGAAGTATGTGAGGAAGAAGATGAAGTTAGAGTTTTATACAATGCAACTTGAGAAATACTAATCGTCATTCATCGGGAAAATCAAAGCAATGATAAAAGCTTCCATAGGAAATAAGCAAATTATCTTTCTTTCTCTCTCTCTCTCTCCAATCAGTTGTTTTTCCCCATTAGTTTAAAGAAATTTTAAATTTCGTTTTAAATGTTTACTTACCTCTCGTGAAACTTCATTTCATATAACAAGAAAATAATGTTTTTACATAATTAGTTATAATTATTTAACTTGTCTGAATATGTAAAGTATCAGTTATTATTTTACCACAATAAGGCAAATCAATATACTTAAATCCAGTTGGTTGATATACATACGTTTTTAACGGATCTGTGATTTTAAATATTATAGAAAACAAGAAAGGCTCTATTCCTCTATCTAACATTTTATACAATGCAACTTGACAAATTCCAATCGTCATTCATCAGAAAATCAAAGCAAGCATTTAAATTAGAGCATTGGAAATAGCCAAATATACTCATTTGTCTATCTACCATCGGTTTGTCTTCTCTTTTTCAATTTCGTTTTAGATGTATAGTATCTTGTTATTTTAAATATCATTTAAAAGTAAAACTAAAATGCAGAAAATTTTGAAAACACTAGTTAATACCTCTTCTCTTAAGCTACTTCTTTTTTCATTCAACACCTTCTTGTGTTAGATCGTAAGAGGATTTGCTTTTGCCATTTACACAATTACACTCATGCATCAACAAATTGAGTTTATGAAACGGTTTAATTTTTTGGTTGAGATGATAAAGATTTTGTGATTCCTGTGATGGTGAATCTTCTCCCATAAGGCTACAACTTCCAAAAGACATCATGTTCAGAACCCCCATAGGCTAGTTCCACCACCGGAGCGACCAGCTTTAATGCCTACTCCAAAACGTCAAGCTCAAGGTGCACGATCAACACTATGGATGCTCTTGCTTCATCTAGTGGTAACAAGGACCCATTGTGGATGTGGAAGCCTAATCTAGTATAAGTTAAGAATTTATCTTTTTGTCTGTACAGCGGCTACTGCATGGTATCGGCATTGTACCTATCATATGCTAACCACTTTTATTACTCTTTTGGAATCATATCATCCCTTTTTGTTCCGACCCCAATGTTGAAAAGTACTGTCCAATAAATAAAGGGGCTACTTATGTAACTTTGTGTGGATATTATAATTTTGTTGACTTGTAAAAACGTGAAACATTGCCATACGTAAGAAAGTAATAAATGAATTTCTAGTCAAATAACTCTTTTTCTTTCTATTAAACTGAAATAACCTCATATAGTCAAATGGTTTTGTATAACTTGGATTTATACTGATTAATCGTTTGAGAAGATGTAAATATGATCAGCACATTCAAAATATCAAATAGATGAATGTTTTTCATTTCGTCAACAGATATTCTCAGCAACCTTAAGAACTTCTTGTGGTCCTAATCAAGTTTTGAAAATTTTATTGTCATTTTTAGTTTCCAGGATATTACCAAATAATCTAGAAAAAAATTATATATTCTGATTATCATTTGGAAGTGGCCAAAAATGATAAACAAAACTAGAAAGCCCTTGGTACTTAAGAAATAGATCAAGCTAGTAACGATTAAGAACGTTTATAGCAAAGATTACATCTACTTAAGCATATTTTGGTTTTGTTAATAGTTGATTCGGAAATAAGGAAGAAAAGATTAAGAACATTTTGTGCTATAGCAAAGAAAAGATGCAAGAAAACTATAAATGATGTACTTGTGAACAAGTCTTAGACGTTTATTGGTGGCTTTATGCAGACATTCTGATTAAGCCTATCCAAAGAGTTTCATTAAGTGATTAAGCCTCAACTTACTTTACCAAAAAAAAAAGACAATTCTGATTAAAGTTGCTTAGGCATTAAGAAACTTCTTTATTTCCTTTCTTAAGTTGCTTCGGCTCCTAAACAGACTTACAATTTAACGACTGAAATAATGAGGAGATTTAAATTCATATAAAAGAGTATCTTAACAGTAAATTTGCATGCTACTCGTCTTGGTTCCAAGAAACAAGACACTGACTTGATTCTACTCCGTTATGCTTAATTGTGATGATGACTTATGATTGTCAAATGATGAGTAGCACATAGCGAATATTGCATATTTAGTGGTAATTGCACTGATTAATAGGATAAGATTAAATCTTGTAGACTACAAACAAACCTTGAAGTATTGCTTCATCCTTCTTCAATGATTTTGGTTGCAATTTCATAAAAAAAAAATCATCTGTAACCTGTTCAAAATACATATACGGTTTTAGAAACGTGTTTTAAATACACCAATTTATATCAAAACGCCCCTACCATAAGAATCACTTCATTCACGATACGGTCTCTCTTATCCTACATGGAATTTAATGATGGTGCTGAGTGAAATTGTCTATTGCCAAAGGATCTTGAATCGGCATAAAAATATGAAACTATGAAAAGTAAGACAATCGGCATGGAATTTAACAATGTTCAAGTTACAAGGAACCTCATTCTAACCATCAAACTAATACAAAAATGAAAGATAAACCAAATTTTTTTGAAGATTACCTATGACATTGAAGGCACCTCTGAAGCGATTGGAGGGTACACTACTCCTGTCGCATTGAGATGACTACCAGAATCACTCTCTCTGGTAGTAAGCTGTAAAGGCTGATCACTAAGGTCACTATTTGGAGCGATTGTTTGATCATATTGCATTTGCTGCTCTGCACCATCAGTTACTGAAACAAATTCTTCTTTACCTGAAATCAGAATAGCAAGTTTCATATAGATTTTACTAAGTGTTACCAATCTGTAGCCAACAAAAAAAATGAGAAACAAAGACACAGCACATGAATAACCATGAAACCCACATAGAGTGGTAAATGGTTACCTGACTCATCCAACTTCATTGGGGTACTTTTTGTTGCATCGAAACTTTTCATCTTCCTTTTCTTTGATTTCTTCTCCTCATCTACTTTGGTTTTCAGATCTTCTTCTTCAATAACGGGAGCATTGGTAATCTCTGCCTTTTTCTCGAGAAACTTATCATCAGCTTTTGAAGAAGCAGCCACTTCAGTGTCCACATCAACAAATATAAACCAGTCCTCGTCACCATTATATTCAAAAGCCTTACTCACGATCACCGAATCTGGCAAGTGATAAAAGCGACCACTCCATTCAATCTGAAAGAAAACAAGCAGTACTCCTTTATTGTTATCGTTGTTAATAACAAAACTTGCAAAACAAGGCAGCAAAAGCCCTACCTTCACGGCAGAAGTGGTGATTTTCCCAATTTCTGAGAAACACTTTGAATGCTCCTTGCGTAATTTTTCTGTAAATAAACAAACAAAAGGAAGCAAAATTAGCGAATAAGAAACATCACCAGCAAAATATAGTTTTACTTTAGAAGTCGTTTCACCTTTGAAAACAGAAACGTTATCAGTCTTGTGAAGGAGAACCACTAGACGAGTGTCAAGACTTGTCTCAACAAACACGCAGTGCATCCCTGCCGAGGAATTATCCATACCCTTTTGTTTATTTGGAATCAGACGATCAAGAAGTATGTGAGGAAGAAGACGAAGTTAGAGTTTTATACAATGCAACTTGATGAGAAGTTGTAGTCGTCATTCATCGGGAAAATCAAAGCAATGATAAAAGCTTCCATAGGAAATAGCCAAATTATCTTTCTTTCTCTCTCTCCCCAATCGGTTGATATTCCCCATTAGTTTAAGGAAATTTTAAATCTCGTTTTAAATGTTTACTTACCTCTCGTGAAACTTTTTTTCATATAACAAGAAAATAATGTTCTAACACATTTCGTTATAATTATTTAGCTTGTTTGAATATGTAAAGTATCAACTTTTATTTTACCACAATAAGGCAATTCAATATACTCAAATCAAGTTGGTTGAAATACGTTTTAAAGGATTTAACCCAGTGATTGTAAATAGTATAGAAAACATAATATTTTTGGCTGATATATTATTTTTTCTATGTTAATAATATCCAAATTTTCAAATGAACTTCTATTATCGTGTGAAAGTGGATTTGTAATAAAAGAAAATAATTTTTTTCTTAATGACAAGAAAGACTCTATCTAACATTTATACAAAGAAATTCCAATCGTCATTCATCAAAAAATCAAAGCAAGCATTTGAACTTGCATTGGAAATAGCGAAATATACTCATCTGTCTATCTCCCATCGGTTTTTAAATGTATAGCATATTGTTATTTTGAACATCATTTACAAATATTTTCTTTCTTTTTTTTCATAAATTTGTGAAAACATTAGTTATACCTTTTCTGTTAGGGTTCCCTTTCTGTTAAGCTAGTTCTTTTTGTCTTTCAACAACTTCTTGTGCTAGATCGTAAGAGGATTTGCTTTTGTCATTAACACTCTTGCATCAACAAAATGAGTTCAAGAAAGTGGTTTAAAGCTTCAGTTGAGATAATAAAGATTTTGTGATTCTTGCGACAGAGAATCTTCTCCCATACGGCTAAAACTACCAAAAGAGTTCCTTGCAGCAACTAGAATCGAAAGTTTGTTAAAATTTGTTTTTGTTTTTTAAGGTTGAGATCTTTCAATGAATTTTTTTTTAAAATGCCAATAAAATCATCTAAAGAGTAGATCACAAAATGAGCATCATAGGTATGCACAAACAATGTGAAGCTGAAGGTAGGAAGCTTCATTAGGTTAACAAAACTCCAAAACGAGTAGATATACAACTAAAAGAGGGTTAGATTTTTGTCACTTGCCCTAAAACATGCAACCGTTTTCATTTTCCGGTAAGTTACAACAGTTTACAAAAGGATAGAAGAAACCAGTTCAAGTGCTGTTAAAAATTACCTCCACGGATGTGCTTAACAGCCAGTTCTCCTGTCTTCACAGCCAGTTTTTTCTACACTTCTTCCTCCTGCGAGTATCTCTTTTCTATGAACCCTTTAGATGTAGAGGCTTCAGAGGTCATGATCAACACAGGGCCTGTTCTGTTTCTGATCAGCTTGAATAAAATGGAACATCCGGCTTTCTGACCATTTGCATGGCAGAAACTTTTCCAGCCGTGTGTGATGCAAAACTGGTTCGATGATTTTCTGTATTTCAAGCTTAACGTCCATGTTCTTCCCTGTTTGTTCATCAAACTTATCTCCTGACAACTTTCGTTCAGTATGTTAGACTTTGAAAGCTTCACTGGAAGAAACTGCAACACCAATATACATACATTTAGACTGGCTTTCAATTATCATTGAAATGCAAAAGCCATAGTGTAAGAATATACGAAAAAATTGAAGTGCCAAGTTGGTAACTCACCAGTCTATCGTCCCGTAGATTACAAACGGTGACAGGTACCACAAAGCTATAGTTATCTGACAAAGACAACGGCTCCACATTCTTTTTTTCGTCCACGGACTCATGTTCTACCTCTAGATTATCCTTCTTCTTCTTGGAGTGCTTTCCTGGATAGAAAAATGTATTGTTCGCCAATAAACAACTTTGCATTTCCTAACTAGATATATAACTAAGAGAATATTGAAACTGACCAATGTCGTCGTCCTTCTCATCCCTCTCAACCGGAATCATCCGGGGAATGGGTTTTGCTCCGTTTCCAAAAAACATTAGCCTCAAGATACAACCAGTTTTAAGTTCATTTGCGCAGCAAAAAGCTCTCCAACCTCGTCTGACATGAAACCGTTTCGTTGAGTTATGGTACGTCATCTCTAGTGTCGATGACCTACCTTTCTCATCCATTAGAATAATCTCTTGGCACAGTGTACTCAGACCACTTGAGGTTGTAAAACTTTTCGGAAGATGCTGCAAAAGCAAATACATATCCCAAGTTGTGACTTTTGAGTATTATTTATTAAATTCACACTGAAATTTCAGTTAAATAATAAGAGTTAAAAGGTGAAGGACTTTTATTACAAATCCATCAAGTCGTAGGTTCGAAGCTGTGACAGGGACCACAAAACTAGTGTCTGAATCTGATGATGAACACTCTTGTTTTGGAATTTTCTTCACTTTAAGCTTTCCTGAATTAAAAATAAATTAAAAAAAACAAAAAAAAATTGAGAAAATTCTCAAAATAGGGGAAAATTCTAACAGAAAAAAAAAACAAAATTTGGAATCTTCTTCACTTCCTATTTTTTGTTATTTTCCAAAAAAAAACAAAAATTGAACTCTTCTTCATTTCCTAAGTTTTATTACTTTTCGAAAAAAAACAGAAATTGGGAAAATTCTCAAAAAAATATTACCAGTTTTGTGCTTAGTGTTCTTCTCGTCTTCTTCCTCCTGTGAGTAGATTAACTCACAGCAGCTAGGTCCAAAGGGTGTGACATGAAACACGAGATTACCTTCGTGTCTGAAAACGAGAAAGTCGCCGACACGAAGATCGTTAGCCGCTGTGAAATTTTCCCATCCTTTGGTCAATCTACGGCCTTCAATCTTGACTTTCCAGGTTATTTCCGTAACGTCTACTCTCAGTTCCACCTCGTTGCCCTCTTCTCTTCCTTGCAAGTGTTTCGTGTAAAAAGCTACAGGAATCGACTGCATGCAAACAACAACGAAGAACAGAGCCAAACATTTTAAAAAAGTAAAAATCTAACAACATGCAAAGAGCAAGAGAGAGAGAGAGAGAGAGAGAGATTTACAAGGTGGGTGTTGAAGCCTGGAAGCATGGGCTGGAAGAAGTGTGGATTGGCCAGAGAAGAGGAGGAGATTGAATAAGCCATTGATGAACAAAAAAGTATCTTAAAGGTCTTTCAGATTTCTCAGTGACGACTTGATAAGCTCTCGTCTGCTTCTTCGTCTTCTTCTTCTTCAGTTCGATTCCTCTAGAATTTCAGATTGGGCCAAATTTTCTGATTTTGAGGCTTTCTGTGTTCAAGCCCATTACGGTTTACCACCACTCAAACCACCTCAAGATTGACGTGTGTAATGAACCGAGTCAAACCTTTTAAACCAAACGTCAACGTATACTAACAAAGAAGAGAAATGGAAAAAACAGAGGAATTAAAACCATTGTGGGTTTGATCAAAGGCTGTGGAATAAAAACTCAAAAATGTGAAGAGAATTAAATAAACCATGTCTCGAGTGCCAAATGCTATGCTGAAAACACTCCATATTGGACCACATGCTTCACCTTTTTTTTCAATTCATCTTCATTGGCACACCGCACACCTAAGCAATATCTGAACAATATGATTTAGGAGATCTGCTCCGTGGCTTAAATTCGTCAACACCATCACTACTATTTTAAATTTAATCAAAATATTTTAAATTTAATGCAGATTCTGCTTTTACATTTATGAATGGCTGGTGCTCAAGACATTGCCAATTTTTACTCAACTCTTCATTGCTATTTTCTATGAAAACAGGTTTACATGTTGGCATTCCATCAACACATGACCCACTTATCTTTACTAGACCTCTATTTGATCTTCCAGGTAAAAGCTTTTGTGACTTTTGAGATTCCAATTTTTCTAACTCAGTTTCTTACATTAGTTTTTTTCTGTATTTTTGGTTTTTGGCAGTTTTTTCCCTTAAAACTATCTTGAGGAGAGAACTATCGCTCACAGATATTTCAGCGTAATGCTGCCCTGCAAGAATGGGAGATGATGATGAATATCCTGTTATAAGAAGTATTCCAGAGCAAGCTAGTTTTTTTTTTTTTTGGGTCAAAAGAGAGCAAGCTAGTTAGAAACTGAAAAGACAACTCAAAAAATGTTTTGTGTAACTTTTGTGGAGATCTGAAAATTAAATGGTTTGATAGTCTCAAAAGTATATAATAAATTATATAAGAGTTTTTTGTATACAAAGTCACTTTATCTAATTTTCCTTAGGACTCGACAATTTCATTTTTTTGGTCTTCTTTTGCCTAAAATTACAATTTATGCCCTTGTTTTTTATTGATCAATGTACTGTATACGTTGAGTCGGTACTGTGTGGGATTACAACTGGAGAGTCTGCGCGTATACAGTGAACAAAGTTGCAAAGTGTTACTTTTAGCCAATATGTTGCAAACGTGTTAAAATAGTTGCCAAAATTTCAGAAAGTAACAAACCATGCAAATGACTCATTATATAACTGGAAGAATAATAGTAAAAAGGCCTTTATTGAGTCTGTGAATCGAAGAAAATATCAAAACCCAAGTTCATCTTATCTTAACTTAGTTATCCTTTGTTCGATTGTGAACTTGAAAATCATATCTCCTTTGAGAGGCATCTGCAGTTCTTGAAAGGAAAAAATGCAAAAAAAAACCTTCAATTCACAACTTTCAGCCAAAAAAAATACTAACTACTCGCTGGACTAAATGAATTTTTAATTTTTTTTGACTAATCCGTTTAATCTTCAACCTTTTTTAACCAAACTGTTTTAGACCCAACATTAGTCAGCATTTATAGTTGACTAACGATAGGACTAAAATGGTTTAATAAATTAAAAGTGTGGATTTTTTTGTGAATAAAAAATTAAGATTATTTTGGTAAATTAAAAGTTGAGGATTTTTTTGATTTTTTTTACCAAAAAGTTATTTTTTCCACATTTTTGGATTAAAGTAATGAAAAATAGTATAAAAATAAAATATTAACAATCAAAAAAATTATTTCATTAGTTGAAAATAAATTACTGATATGAAAAATTAAATTTAATATTTTAATTTCACTATTTTACTTATCACCTAAAAATATTTTAAACAAGTATAAAAATGAAATTAGTATTTTTTTAAAGATAAAATTAATTTCTCATAAAGGTAACCAAATTTAAATTTTTATTCATTATTATTTTGAAAATATCTACTCAAATTTGTATTATTTACGAACTATTTTATAATATAATGAAAATGTTATAAAAGTATATAACTATTTACAAAAAATATGATTTCATTTTCACAATTTACGGATAAAACATTAATCAAATTCATGTTATTTTCATAATTTTGATTTTATTATTCAATATTTATAATTGTTAAAAAAATATTTTTAATTTAAGAAATTTATTTAAAATGAATTATGGGTAAATTTGTTGGGATATATAATTTTTCATGAAAAAATAAAACATGTAATATTCTGAGTTTTGATGTATCATTTTTACTATTTTAATCTAAAATTTTGTAAACAATAATTTATTTATATAAGAGTTATCAATATCTAATTTATGATTGCAAATTTGAAATCAAAATTATTTTTTATTAATTTTAAAACTAAATTTTATGATTTAATTACATAATAGACTTTATAACCTTTGATAGAAGTCTACTAGTAGATTTCTAACAGTCTTTAGTAGACTTTGTCAGGGTTTAAACCGTAATTAAGATTTCCATTTTTTTTAGTCATATATGATTATATTGTCTTTTCACTACCTTTAGGTTATTTTTGCCAAATATTACATCAGTGGTTACTTTTGTATTCGGAATCAATTTTTAGGTTACTTTTAGCAAAAACCTCTTGACTTTTTAGTTCAAAAAATTTTAAACATTTTATTTCTAAAAGAATCTCTAACTTTTATTAAACGAGTCACTATAGTCCTATCGTTAGTCAACTATAGCTGTTGATTAATGTTGGATCTAAAACAGTTTGATCAAACAAAGTTGAGGATTAAACAGATTAGTCAAAAAAAAGTTAAATATTTATTTAGTCCACCAAATAGTTGATAATTTTTTTGGTTAAAAGTTGTAAATTGAAGGATTTTTTTTTTGCACACTATATTACGATTTTTTTCCATTGATTAGTTTAATTTTTCTTGAAAAACTCGGCATGCCGCATGTGTTTTAGATAAAATCTAGCCACGATCTTATGGTCTTCCTATTAACAGTTTACCAAAAATTAAGTCTTAACCAGATATATATATATATATATATATATATATATTTTGGTAAAGATCATACTAAGTTTTTTATCACTCAATTTAACGAAAATATTTATGGAATAGATCATGATTGTTAGAATTAGAATTTTTTTTTTTTTTTAAGTTATTTATAGGATAAATAATAAGTTTTAGACTTTTAGTACAACATCAAAATTGTATTGTTATTACCACAAAACAAAACCATTGAATTTCTTCATTTTCGAAAATAAGTTAGATATATAATTAATTAGTATTATGTTTTATTTGGGATATTTTTTAAATTATTCTCTTTTTTTTTCTTTACAAGTACTTTTCAAAAAAGTATTGAAAAGGTGTATTTTAATAAATCAACAATAGCGGGTATTCTCCCAAATTTCCCATATATATAGTCAAATACGTTAATAAGTTTTTTCCTAGCCGCCAAGCTTTGTTTCCACAAAAACTCATTGTGCGTCTTCAATCTCTGGGAGTGTTCGTGTTCGTATTGTCTCGGTTTCTTTCCTCAAAGGTATCTACTTTTGTTGTTGTTACGTAAATTTGTATACTTTCCGAAACTTTTCTTATTTAATTCCTACTGGGTCTTGTTCAAATCATAACCTGTGTAATTTTAAGGGTGTTCTTTTGTAATCGACTCTGTTTTTGCATGTACAATTCTTCAGTGGCAATGGCTGCCAAAAAAGTGGAATTTGCATCAGGAGATTTAATCAGTAGCTTACCAGACGAGGTTTTGGGTCAGATCCTGTCTTTGCTCCCAACAAAACTTGTTGCTTCCACATCAATTCTCTCAAAGCGGTGGAGGAATCTGTTGCCTCTGGTTCACAGCCTTGAATTCGATGATTCAGGTGTAAAGTGTTCATGTTTTCCTTCCTTCCTTGATGCCATGGACAGAACTCTTGTCTTGCTAGGTGATTCTCCCATCAAGAAAGTCTCTTTGAAACGGATGTCTCTAATCGACGAGCCTAGGCACAACCGTCTGATCTACAATATGCTGCAACGTGGAGTCTTGGAACTACACTTGTCAGCAGTGTTTCCAGGTATGGAGCCTGAGTTCTTCTTCAGCAAGACATTGGTTAAGCTCACTCTATCCAATGGATGTTATGGCCAAAACAATCATCCTCCAGGCGGTGTGCTTTTCCCTGCACTCAAAACTCTCTCTTGCTTTCTTGGTTTTGCAGGTGCTGACTTACCTGAATCTCTTACCTCTAGCCCTTTGCTTGAGGAACTTAACTTATGTAATGATGATCCTCTTTTACCGGGTTGGGGAAAGTATATAGGCGGTTCATCCGTCCAGAGATTATCCACTTTTTACCGTTCAGATGATCTAGAAGACCACGATGGGTTTACCATTGAGACACCAAATCTTGTGTACCTTGACTACTCTAGCTATGTCGCAAAAGATTATGTTTTTGAACTGGATTCGCTTGTCGAGGCTAGACTGGATCTTGTGTTGTGGAAGTATAATGATAATGTTCCACCAAAGGTTCCATATAGTGGGTATGATTCTACAAAGGGTAATGCTTGGGGTGATGTAACCAAACTCATTGCAGCGGTTAAGAATGCTGTGACCCTTCACTTATCTGCTGATTCTCTTGAGGTCACTTTCCTTACTCTCTCTTTACTTCTTTTTTTTTTGTTGTGTTAATGTATTGCTAGTCACCTGTTTTCTTGTTTTCAGTTTATAAAGTGTAGCCATGACTTATGTTTTGATAATCTCTGTTTTTGTGTGATCTGATTCAATTAGGCGTTTCATTTCTGCTGTAAATGTAAATCGATGCCCGTGTTCAACAACCTCGCTAGGTTATCTTTCGAGAGCCACAAGGAACGTGGTTGGCAAGTATTGCCACTTCTGCTTAAGAGATCTCCAAACCTAGAAACCCTAGTCATCAAGGTATGAAAAACAAACTCAAGCAAATCTAAAGGACATATATGAGTTCTGTTTTTTTTTTCTAATCAACTGTGGTGTTTTGTCAATTGTGTTTAGGGTCTTGTGCATGAGATTACAGATCGATGTGGGGATGTATGTGTGTGCGTTTATGAGAAGAAAAAGAAGAAGAAGACGAAGAAGCCGAGGAAGAAGAAAAGTTGTTTATTGTCGTGTCCAGTGAAGGTGCTAATGATTTACGGGTATGGAGGAAGTTGCGGAGAATTGAAACAGATGAGACATTTCATGGAGAATTTGAGGTTTCTTGAAGTTGTGAAAGTTAGGATTCAAGTGGATCAGCAAGATAAGTACTTGCCAATCGCCGATGAACTGATGAAGCTACTAGCCACAGCTTCTTCCAAGTGCAAGATCCATTTCATTTGATTCTCTCTTTACATTCTATATTTATTGTTTTCTTTCTTTAGATTCTCATTCTACTTTGATGAAAGATTTCAGTTTACGATTTTAATATAAGTCAATGCTGCGGAAATTGTTTGATAAGTGAAGGATCTTTATTACTTTATGTGAATCGTTGAGGCTGGTTATTGTTCTTCATATACAAAACTCCTCGAAGCTTGATTTGATGTTTTGATCTTGCATATATTATCACGTCTGAATCTTGATTGAGGAAAGCCTAAGGCATTTTATTAACTTGTGGTTGACGGAAATAAAAAAAGAGAGATAATTACGAAATAAATAAAAATCCCTTTAAGAAAGTCTAAATTGAAAATATAGGTGGTGATGAAAATTTCCTTATTGTTCCTCGTTCACAAATCCTTTTAGTTCATATCTAAAGAGACTCATAATTTGTAATCCAAACCATACTTTTGTAATTTTCATAATTGGAAAAATGTTTGCCAACAAAAATTCTCACATATCAAACTGAGCAAAGAAAACAGAGGAAAAAAAACATGGTTTAACTAGTTGTGTTGCTTCAATAAATAAATTAAACAAACAGCCGATGATTTTTTAAACCTCTTCTCAGTTACAATCCTATAGGAGGCAAGTGCAATCTCCAAATCTCCAAAATGCCATTTTTTACATGAAATCATCATCGTCCATTGCGTCATAAGGACCCGCAACAAGATCATCATCAGGCTTATCCACATGCAGTTGTTTCTTCTTACCTAAGAAACACAGTTAAACCAAAAAAAAAAAAAAAACAATCATGAATCTGATCATTTCAGAAATAGAGACATGCTTAAGCTTAAGAACAAATAGTCCACAAGTTCTATAAACCAAAGAGAAACCAACATATAAAGACGAGTCAAGAAAATAGAGTGAATGCGTGTACCTGTCTTCTTTTTGCCAGCAGCTTCTTTTTCTGCCTTCAGTTTTTCGTTCATTATTGCTGTAATGGACGAAGCAACGTCTTTAACATCTGCTGCTTTCATATTGGCCAGAGATAATCTCATCACTGCCTTGAGTAGGCCAATATAGTGAAAGCTTTTCTGCAAATACAGAGAATATAGTTATAACACGGGTGGCCAATCTTTATCTGATATTTGGCCAAATCGAGATAAGCTACACTTGGCATACCTCATATGGTATTAGTCTATGAGAAATCAACTCAGCATATTCCAAGAAATCGCTTTCAGACTTGGGAATAAACATATCGACGCTCTTCTCTTCAGTCTTTGCTCCAAAAAGTTCAGCAGTTGCCTGGTAATCAGATTCCTCCACAAGCCTAAGATAAGAAGAATATTAAGAATGAGAAGAACCATTAGAACATGATGTATAAGAAAACAATTATCGAAGAAACTAATACAGTACCAACAGAAGAAGCATATCAAAGTAAGCGTGAAATGTTTTTAGAATCTACCTCTGCATGCGGAGCTTCTCTGAAATGGGATCTAGAGGTTCTTCCTTTGATGATTCTTTTGGAGCTTCAACAGTTTTACCCTTCTTTTCAACAACTTTCGCTGCTGCTTTCTTTGGAGCCTTCTCAGGAGCAGGCTTTACTACAGGTGGCTACACAAACCAAAAAAACAAAGATTGTTAGCTGAAATCAAATTACGCACACAAGCCAATAATGAAAAAGTATATACTGAAAGAAAACTATACCGGAGCAGGTTCATCATCTTCTTCCCACGAGTCTTTGATATCATTCTCATCAACATCCTCATCATCCCAGTTACTTTTCAGTTCAACTTTCGCGGGAATTGGTTGAAAGTCCTCGGCCTCTGGAATCAGATACAAGTGAGAACTCTAATATATTTCCATATGAAAACTTTCAATAAAAGAACAGAAAAAGTCTATAACATAACTAAAACACATGTCCCTGTATACAGCCATCACTAATTTTCCACATATCCAGGGGAAGAAAAATACAAGAGCTACAGAAAAATAATGTACTCACACACAAGCACACGTATCAAACATTGCTTAATATACAAATCCTACCCCCAATCATCCATATGTTCTGCCAATTATCTATATGAATATGAGCTACGTTACAAGCGAAGAATTCTACATGATCTACATATGAGAACTCTACATGATCTAGACAAGTGATCCAACTATCGGAAAGTGGTTGAAAGTCCTCGGCCTCTGAAACCAGTACTAATACTTTACATATCCAGGGGGATATAAAAACAAGAACTAGAGGAAACTAAAGTATTCACACAAAGACACACACACATGTATTTAAATGATTCTTAATATAAAAATCTTACCCCAATCATCCATCTTTTCTGCCTAATTATCTAGAACAAGTACGAGAAGCTCTCTGAATCCAACTGAAAACCTGCAAAAGCAGACACATAACATCACAAATAAAAAACAACTCAGTACTTCTCAGAATAAAAAGTCTCTCAAAGGTGACGCCTACATCTAAATAATTCAGTAAGGTGATGCCTAATCACAAGGTAATCCTCAATAAAGCAAGAAAACAGAAGTTCATTCATCATCTCATAAAGATGCCAGAAAAATCCAACAAACGTAAGCACTAGATTATCACAAACAGTAAATTTCAAGACTCTGACTTTGAAGAATTTCATTGTTTTTGGCAATATAATTTTAGGAAAGATCCAGTTTTGTAGATATCGTCATGCAAGCTAGTGTAAGCAGATGGGAAAGCAATCAAACAGAGTTTAATTGAATCATAGTAATACATAATCTTTAGCACAATTAATGATAATTAAGCTCTAGAAATCGTAAATCTAAGATGGAATTTAAACGATTAGAAGAATTTACACGATTAGAACGTTGGAATGCCCAGAACGGATTCAATTCGAAAAAAAAATTAAGATTTAAGGCGATGGTGGCGGAAGAGTAATTTATCTGGGAAAGGATGAATCCCAAAAGGTTAGGTTTTCAATACGAGAAGAGAAATCGCCACCACGAAAAACGAAAAAGAGGTAATAATTGAATTCGACGGTGAACACTTTCCGATGTAAAGGAACAAGACGAAACGACAGCGAAAATTACTTGCTGGAATTAGGGTTTTCTCTCTCGCACTTGTGTTCTCTAGAACATTCTCATTTAAGTCGAATTTACATTAAAAACAAAAAAACAATTTTTGAGAAAAAGCGTTGACCAACGGGTCCAAGCCAAGAAAATAGAGATATTTTAATGTTTCGTCATCCAATTTTTCTATTAAAGTCATTTTTATCCTTTTAAATGATTTTTTGACTTTCTTTTACTTTCTTCGCTGTTTTCTCATGATTTAATGTACGAGTTATAATTGGGTGACAAACCAAGATTAAAGTTGAAATTTCCTTAAAAAATGATAAGATGACTCGGGAATTCCTAATTTCGAGAGATATCTTAATTTAATTTTTTATTCTTTATTTTTATTACATCATTTATTCTTAAATTAATAGATTTTGTGATGATTAGAGTAGATTTATGTAGATAATTAAAAACATCTTATACTAATCTTACACTGTTAATTTCCAGCCATATACTTTTATTTTTTTTTGCGTAGTACAATATTAAATGTGAGATATTTGAAAGATTTCTAGGATATATGCATAATTATCAACAAAATCTTTCAAATATTTTATATTTAATGGTGTGCTGCACAGAAAAATGGATGATGTATTTAACAACAAAAAAAATTAATGATGAATATATTTGGCTTCCTAAATTTACCTAAAATCTTACTTTTTGTTTTCTATAAACTTTTCTATTTAAAGAAAGAAATCTAAACGATAGGAAGAATAATGAAATAAGGAAAATTAATAATTTATTCAATATATTCCTAAAATTAAATGCGAGGACTAGAGAAAAAAAAAATGGAAGTATGGGAAGAGACTGTGTCTCTCAATTTAAACAGAGGAGGAACTGATACTCATCTCATTCGACTCTCTTCAAAATCAAAATCCCAAAAAAAAAAAAAAAACATTCTCAGAATGTCTGCTAAACATTCCAAACTCCCTGCCAATGCATCTTCAAGCCATGAAGTCATCGATGATGTTAGCTCTGGAAAACAAACGACAAATCCAGAAACTGTGAAGTCCAAAGTCTCCGATTCCAAATCTTCTGACATTGACACATCGCCGGTCAAGATTCCAGCTGTGAAGACCACCGCAGAAACCAAAAACGTCGAAGCTTCTGCCGTCGACGCCGGCGAGGCTAAGAAGGTTGAATCATCATCTTCTGGGAAATCTAGGAAGAAGAAGCGGTCTAAGGAGACCCATGAAGCTGGAGCTGCCAAGAAAGTGAAGAAGGATAAGAAGAAGCGTGGTCGAGGAGGTGAAGAGACGACCAAAAAGGTCGAATCTTCTGTTGTGAAATCTGAGACCAAGAAGCGGTCTATTGAAACAGATGAACCAGAAGCTTCTGCGAAGAAATTCAAGGGTGATCCAGATGAAGTCGACAAGAAGAGTGGTGGAGAAGAAGAGCCACAGAAGATCTATTTTCAACGGATCTGGACGGAGGAGGACGAGATCACACTTTTACAAGGGGTAATTGAGTACAACAAGGATTATGGGAACTCTTTGGTGGACACAAACGGGTTCTTTGAGCGTATGAAGAAATCCTTCAGCTTTGAAGTTAACAAGTCCCAGTTTACGGAGAAGCTGAGGGGCCTGAAGAAGAAGTATATTGATAAAGGGAAGAAGACTTTTGCCAAGGCTCATGATCAGAGAGCCTTTGGTCTGTGCAATATTATTTGGGGTCCTGATGGGATACTACCTCCTGAGTCTGCCGTGAAATCTAAGGCTAAGCCGGATAAGTCAAAGAAAGGATTGCTTGTGAAGGAAGATGATGAGCTGCCTGTTTTCTCATTGCCTAAAGGTGAGTTGACTGTGAAGAGGCAATATTTTGTGTCTATTGCTGAATCTATTGTTCGCTCTGGTGTGGATGAGAGTTTTGTTCGGCGAAGTTGGAGTAATCTTGCCCCAGAGCATAAGAAGACAATTGAGGAGCAGTGGAAAGATTTGCAGGTCCAGAACTTTTCCAAGCAAAACGATATGATTCAGAAGGTGGTAAATCAGTTGGCTGAATCAAGCCCTTCAGAAGTTTATTCCTCTTTTGGTTCTATCTTTTGATCCAATAACTATGGTCTTGTCGTTTTCATTTTCTTTTGGTTTTATCTTTTGATCCTACGAACTCTGGTCTTGTCGTTTTTATTTTCTGTTGGATTTTTAATGTTTGATTTTTAATGTTTGCGGATTTCTATCACTATTGAAGTTTAGCTTTTGCTTAATTTGAAGTGATTCTGTTACTACCAGTACTAGTATGGAGTAATTGACTCAAACGTTTGTCTTGTTGAAGCAGAAATTTTTAAAATCGAAAACACTCTAAAGTCTAAACAATATTGCTGATAAACTAGTGAGAAAAGATACAGTTTTTTGCAAATTTTCTTCTCCGGATCTTCATTTCGACTCCTAGAACTCTGGGAAGTTGGTAAACTCATTTTGGCGATTCACTTTAGTCGCCAATAACTTGCATGGAACTAGTCTAACACAGAAATTTGAGGCCCACAGAGTAAACTATTCAAACCAAGATGGAACTGAAACTTAAAATAAGAGGTTCTTCTTGGAAGCACTTGGAAGTTTCGAGACCAAAACTGATTCTGAAAACAGGAAATGCTTCAAGCAGGCTGCAACAAGACATTGCCAAGTACTTGGTGCTCAGATATGGTGACTGGATTTTTTTCACAATTAGAGTTCCAGTTTATGTTGATATTTCAGGACTGTTAAAAATTTGCAAAGGTAAAGCGCAGGAAGAAGTATTTGGAGAATTTGATTGGACATGAGGCAAAGCTCCACTACTGAATCAAGAAAGCTTAGTCAAGAATAGCGACATACACTAATTTTTCTTTGGATGAAAGATTATAACATGGGAAAATAAAAGAGAAGAAATAACTACAACAAGTATCTCTTTGTTTTTGAAATCTGAATAGACTAGATATATATACACATGCTGTAAACTTCAGCTAAGACAATATGAGAATCTGCAGGTGTCTGAACCTTTTGAAGCTTTTTGTTTTCAACTGTTTTCCTCTGCAAAATCAAATTATTATTCTACATAAGTACATATATTTATGGTTGTATCTCGTAGTAAAGAGCAAGAACTGAGAAACGAGTGTGATTTAATATACCATTTATAGCTCCCAAGTTGTCATCTTCTTTATAGACCCCAAGAGGAGAGCCATGCACAGAGAGCATCATCTCTCCAGGTTTCGGTTGCCTCCGAGTCTTTGGTGTCATTCCAAAAGAGAGTCTTTGCCCATTTACCTGCAAAATATTTACAAGTATCATTGCAGAGTCTCTTCTTGTATGCAGAAGATCTAAATCATTGATTCCAACATTGCTCATTTTGCAACAGAAAATGTAAAAGATAAGTTTCGAAACCTTAAACTGATTTCTTTCTCTCTGGATCAAAAGCACAAACATAGAATCCAAGGGAAAAGAAAAGAACTTAGAGGTGAATTCTAGAGAACCTTCTTGAAATACTAATCACAATTCCTTTTTCCTCCCGAGATTTAACAGTTAAATAGTGATCTGCATATCAGTCCTAGGCCTGGTACGAAAAGTTTCAAAACCATAAAATGATTTCTTTCTCTCTGGATCAAACATACAAACATAGAATCCAAGGAAATAAAAAACACTTTACAGAACCTAGAGGTGAATTCTAGAGAACTTTCTTGAAATACTCATTACTATCCATTTTTTTCCCGAGATTTAACAGTAAAATAGTGAGTTGCCTAGGCCTGGTACAATCTTCAGGTCACTTTTATTCAAATCTACTGGTGCGATTACAATACAACAGAGTAGATATACTTCATAAGGGCAAGATAATAGCATCAAGATAGAAATAGGGGATACAATCATGGATACATTACCTCAGGAGTCCGAAGAGCATCATGGCTTGCAAGCATTTGGTTGTTAGATGTCCCTTGAAAGACCTACACGGGAAAAAAGCAAACCAGTTTTTTTTTATACCGACTCTCCTGAACTAGTTCGCAATAAATCAAAATTCAAGATTACGGTTTAGTGTAAGCTAACATTACTAAAACAAGTAAAGGCTAATATAATGCATTACACAATTTAGTGAAAGCATGCAAAAATGGTTTAGAGCAAATGACAGATCCAGTCATTCAAAACGGTGCTACAATCCTTAGTTACTACGAGACAGAAGCATATGCAAGATTCCAGAAAAATGGAGACAGAACAAGATATAAACTTACAAGATTCTCGAGTTGTATGTTCTCAGTGCCCAACATGCTTGCTCTCACTACCAAACCAGAAGACACAATCAAAGTGTTAATACAAAAATCAAAGATCAATCCATTTATTATCCTAAAAAGAATCTGAGATTAAGTTTCTCTCTACCGTTATAGGGCAAATCGTAGCCACCAAGAGACGGCCTATTACTGTATAAATCAGGAAAACCCATCGACAAACGCTTCAGAATCGAATAATTCATGTCAACATCATCTGCCTTGCCCATGAACGAAGAACCACCGTTTTTGTCAATCCATTTCATCTCAATCTCTCCATTTACTTCGTTTATAGATAAATCCGGAAAGTTCTCTTTGAAGAACTCTAACACAGGAGTGTCTAGCTGCTCCTCGGTGAAACATGATTCAAGCAACCTCAGTGAAGTTAAAGTGTGTTCAATCTCCACATCACGTATTGCCCTAATTGCAGCAATTTGTCTTTCAACTACACCAAAAATGTACACTCAATATCAGATCCAAACAAGATAATACAAAATCCTAACATTTTTTTTTATTGGGAAAAACAATCTAAACTGATACCTTCTTCATCCACAAAGTCCTCTTCTTTCTCTTCTCTTTGAATCCCTTTGTCACACTTGTCGTCTTCGTCGTGATTCTTCTCTTCTTCAGTGCGCTTGACACCTCTCTTTGCTTTTCGCCTCGGCATTATCGATCTTCCACATCAAATAGCTCGGGTTCAATTCGAAAACTCGAAGATGAATTCATTCAACGATCAAGATCAAACAATGCAATTCGAGTAAAATTGAAGCCAATTGATAACATCGGAAGAGGAAATTACCTGAGAAAGACTGAAATTGAATCCTAGAGGTGGGTTTCGGCCGGAGAATAGAAATTGCGACGACGAAAACGGAAAGGTGAAAACTTTCCGATGTGAAGGAAGAGAAGTGCTTCTTTGGTTATCTGTCGTCGTTTTAGTGGATTTAGGCCAGTCCTGGGCCTTCGGGTCCTCGGTTCCGGTTCAGACGAAATTTTCGGATTTTGGATTTTTCGGGTTCAAACAAATTGGACCCAAATGATTCTTGGGAAATTTTTGATTCGGGTTGGTTTGGGTCTTATTTGATTCGGATCGGTTTTGAGATTTCAAATTTAAACCAAAATAGAACTGAAATTGGATTTAAACCCAAAAAATGATTACCTAGTTTTCTACATCGACCAATTCCATGAGCCATATAGTGACTGATGCCACTTCCCGAAGAAAATCTGGAGATTTCCAACAATCGATCATAACAGATGCCATTCTCTAAAACTTGCAAGTTCTAGAGTCTAGTCTTAGGCTTAAAATCTTATTACACTAACATTTTTTCGGGTCTCCGTATAGATCTTGGATCCAATCCGATCCGAACCGAAATCCGATTCAAATTAAAACAAAATTCATTCGATTTATTTTTAAAAACTGAGTTCGAACTGAGCCATGTTTTTCAGATCGGGTCGGGTCCTTTTGGATAGGATTTTAGGCTGATGACTAATTTAGGCTTTAATGGTTTCTCACTTATTAGATTTTTCAAACTCACTAAAAGGATTTTGAATCAATTAAATAGGTATGATCTTAAGGTAATTCATGTCATGTATACTTGGTTTATTCTGAGATTCGATACATCGAGTCAATATGTGAGATGAGATAGAGAAACCAATCAGATTTCTTAGTTAGAAAATAGTAGGATTAAATACAAACTATCAGTTTGGATAGGTTATCTGAACACTTTTTTTTACCTGTACTAACCACCACCCATCTTCTATAGCCATAACTCTCGTAAACCATATCTTTTTTGCGATTCTCATCTTTACTTGAAAGCTCATGATGTATCAAAAATTCTAAATTCGTACTATAACATATCCTAAACTACAATATATGTTGTATACACACTACAAAAAAAACATCATTTTACAACGGTCGAAATGGTCGTTATTTCGTCGTAATAGGACCATTACGACGGACTACCGACGATTTCGAAATCGTCGTAAAGTCATCGTCGTAATACCCAAATCGTCGTAAAATCGTCGTATAATTTACGACGGTTTTGTTTCGTCGTAACGTCGAGGGAAACAAAACCGTCGTAAATGCGTCGTACAGTTTATGACGAGTTTACATCGAATTGCGTCGACTTGGTCTTCGACTGGACCGTCGTTAAGTGGTCGTTAATGGTCGACGTAAGATCGTCGTAAAATGTACGACGAATGTACGACGGTTTTAATAAATCTATTACGACGATTATACGACGTTTAATTGAAAATTAAAAAAAAAATTAATTCGAATTAAAATTTAAATAAAAAAAATATATTACAATTTAAAATTTATGAAAATTTGAAATTAAAATTAATTGTAATTTACAAAAAAATCCTACAAATCTAAATCTAAATCTAAATCGTCGATCCCGTCGATCCCGTCACCAGCCTCCTCCCCATCGTCCTGGACGTGTTCCTTGCCGGGTCTTCGGTTTGATGCTTCCGCCGGTCGCCGAGGTAGACGGGGCCGTACCGTCAGAATCGACGAGCTGTCGGTAGTGAAATCTCTTAGCCCGAGGAGCCATCGAGACAGAATCTACAAAATTTTAAAAAATTTGTTACTAATTTTCCAAATATTTATTAAAATTTACAAAATCCGGGCCTATCTAAATTCTGAAACCTAAATCTAAATTCCGAACCTAAATTTAATCCGAACCTAAATCTAAAATAATATGTAATGAAATTATTTAAAAAAAAACTTACAGTTAATTGGTTGGGAGAGTAGGGAAAGAGGGAGAGATTTAGTTTTTAGAGAGAGATAGAGATTTATAGAGAGAGAGGGGGAAGAGAGGAATGAGCGACGAAAGGGGAAAACTCGCGTCCCTTATATAGATTTTGTTATCGTCGTAAAATCGTCGTAACTTTACGACGATTTTACGACGATTTGGTTGTATAACAGGGGGTGATCTGATCGTCGTAAAATCGTCCTAAATTGATGACAGTTTTACGACGATTAAACCCAAAACCGTCGTAAACTCGTCGTAACGTCTAAACATTTATAATCTCGTACCTCGGATCAAGAGCCTATCCGGTGCAAACGATACGACGGTTTTACGACGGTTTTGGGTTTACTCGTCGTAAAACCGTCGTAAATTTACGATTATATTACGACGGTTTTACAATGTTTTTTTAAAAAGTGAGTAAACCCTAAATCTTTTAAATGGGGTATTGCATAAAGAACAATGCAAAAGTTATTGTATCGTAACATATAATAAAAGGTTTACAACTTTGCATGTATGATGGATTTATGACATGAGATAGTAAAAAATGAAATTCCGTAATCTAATATATAACCTTTCACTAAACATTTTAGAAAACATGCATGAACTTGTAAATATGTATGTTTTTTTTCAAATTTTTTATTTTGATCAGATTGATAGCATTTCATATAAAATATGATAACCAATCAAAAACAATTGTGAAATACCTTACAACCAATAAGATATAAAAGATTCAAATTCTTGGATTTCAACATTACGACGCTTTTACGACGAAATAGTGTATTCGTCGTAAAACCGTCGTAACTTTACGACGATATTACGATGGTTCGTCGTAAAGACGTCGTAATGTTGAAACCCTATTCATTCAGGGCTTAAAACCTAGACTTAGGGTTTAGGGTTTAGAAAAACCGTCGTAAAACCGTCGTAATATGTACATCGAAATGAAGTCGTCGTATATTCGTCGTAATTTTGCGATGAATTTATGACGAGTTTACATTTACTAGCAAATCTCTCGTTATCGATGTATAATCGTCGTAATTCGTCGTAAATTGTACGTCGAGTTTACGACGATTTTTATATACGACGGTTTTACGACGGTTTTTAAATTAGACGTAAGATCGTCGTAAAATCGTTGTAAATTTGCGACGATTTATAAACCGTCGTAATGGACCGTTGAAAAACGATTGTTTTCTTGTAGTGACACTAAAATGAAAAAAACATAGATCTACATAAAAATGATAGGAGGTTCAGATCTAAAAACAAGCATATGTCTATTTTCCATTTTTAATATTTTATTTTTGTATTATTTTTGTTTTAATATTTAACCAGGTTCAATAATAATAATAATTTAAATAATAAAGTTCATTAATTTGAAAATACCAAATATAATACTTCAAAAACCATGGTTTTTTTTAAAAAAATGTAAAGATGACTGAAAAGAATTTAAAAATTTAAATTTAAAAGCAACAACGAATAAGATAGAGTAGCACTTCAATCTTCTGTGTAATATATTGAATATATTGTTTAAAAGAAAATTTTTAATTAAAAAAAAATTAAAGAATCCGGTTTAATCTGGTTCAATGAGTTCTCGGTTTCCGAGTTTTTGACGGTCTAATCCGGTCTGATAATCAGTTTAATTATTTTTGTTTTTTTTAATTAACCTAATCCAACCCGAAAGTGTTTCCGGTTTGCGGTCTAATCTGGTTGGACCGCCAGTCCGGTCCAGTTTGAAAACATAGGATCAAAGTTATATGTGGCTAAATTAATTAGCCATGAGATGCCACATAACCAAATTAGCTATGATGCTAGCTAGTAATTATTTCAATTTACGTGGCTTTATGTGGCTAACAGATTATAGCCATAATATGTAAGCCAAAGTTTTGATTTTGGTTTACTCCGATCAACAATAAAAAGGCAAAGAATCAAAAGACAAAAAAATTTGAATACTTACATTGCACGGGTATATGCCTAATGGTTTTTCATTTCCTTGTTTGATCACCATTTGATTTTGTAACTGACCAGTGAAAACTCTATAATTGTAGTGACAGGAAGGGTTACTAGAAAGGTTGACGTTTACAACTTTGGAGTTATTCTCATGAAGCTAATAATCGGCTAGAAAGCTATAGACACGAGGGGATCCCAATATGATACCCTCATTGGCGCAAACAACTTTGGATCAGGACATGTTCACTAAGAAAGACTCCTTGGCAAAGTCATTGACAAAACTATTGAAGTTGACGAAGAGACTCAAAAGAGCATTGATGAAGTAGCTGAACTCGCCAGTGACTGTTGCACCAAGGAACTCGAGCAGAGACCATAGATGACTCATGCTGTCATTCTTGTGATTATATATCAGTATATCAGAAAATATAACAAAACTACTTAGTTTTATTTTGGACGTTCGTTATCTTTGAACTGATCATGTCTAAACTACTCGAAAGCAATATATGTTTGAACTTTTTGTTCTATATTTTGATTTGTTATACTTTGAATATTATAATTATTGAAAAAAAATCGATCAAAAAAAGCAAATAATAAGAAAAAAATAAGCAAAACATTGTCAAAACAAAAGAAAAAAATAAAACAAATCACAAATAGAGAAATTGTATGTTCAAATTTGCTTGTTTATACTGGCCTATGCTAATATTATTGTTCAACTCATAACTGGTGCAAAAGGGAGTTTTGTAAGCTGGAAAGCAAAACCAAAGTGCTAGTTTTGTCCATGTCTTGCTGGGTTTCCATTGTTCAGTGAGTAAGCAAACAGCTGGGTTTTTTATGATGCAGTGACTCAGTTCAATACTTCATTGATGCTGCTTTGGATCTCTTCTTTATCGTAATGATTTTTCAATTTTAATCTCAATGATTTTGTCAATCATGTTTGCGAATGAGCTTTGGTCAATAAATCTTCAGATCCCTTCTCGTTTTTAGCTTTCTGGCAGGTTATTAGCTCCATGAGAATACCTCCAAAGCTCTGGACGTTTACTCTCCTAATAATCATTCTCGTCGCTTAAATACTTGAATTATCCGATTTAAATATAGATGAACAAAAAATCTTAATTAAAATTTAAAAATTATATACTGTTATAACACATATCATATATGGACTCTTATACCGGCCCATTAGGCCTATCAGGGCATTGTACTTAACCTAGATTCCCTATGTACTCTATATATACATTCTAGTGATTAATAAAGTTTCTAAGTTTTCACAACACGTTATCAGCACGATAAGACTCTCTGAGCGAAAAACCCTAATAAATCCGGCCACCACCAAAACCCTAAAAGCAAGTCGAAACTTAAAAGACGCATATCTTCCAAACCGTGAGGAACCAGAAGACGATCTACATATCAAATCGAAGCCCTCGACGAGACGAATCTACTGGTGAAAACCGTTTGTCGATCCAACGTCGGACGCGCCCTCACGCACACTTACAGTACACGACGATCAACCGAAAAAAAAACCAGATCCGAGTTTTTCCTTCTTCAACCAGCAGCTTCTCCAGTTTTGGTGATCAATCCTTGGAATTTGTAGCGGCTAACTGAGGTCTATTAGCTCCCAGTTTCATTAGCCTGTCAGAAATCCAAAGGTGGAAAAGGTATCTTCTAAAACTGAAAGCCATAGAACCTGTTGTTTAAACACTTCAAAACCCTATAAAAAAAAAAAAAAAAAAAAAAAAAAAAAAATCGATCTCTAATTGATTGAAAGTGTTTGATACTCTGATGATTGATTGATAACTTGTTGATTGATTGATAACTTGTTGATTGATTGTTTAAATTACAAGTTTATGCATGTTCAAAGGTTTTAAACTCGTTTTATAAAACCCTAATCTACAAAAACCTAACAACCGTTTTTGGCCATGTTTATGGCATAAACCTATTCGATTTTCTTCATGTTTAATAAGCTTGTTGCAGCTTATTTGATTGTTGATTCTCTTGCTTGAAACACTTGATTGAATAAACTAAGAAAATCAACCCTAAATCCTAAGCTTGATTCACGATTTTGTAATCTTCAAAATCGTAAGTCATAATGCTTAAACCCTAGTCCTTTTCACGTGATTTCTTTGTTGTCCTTGTGAAATTATTAAAACCATCGACCACAGATCCTATAGATCTCGAAATCACATCCAAAATATGTTTTCCAAACCGTTAAAACCCTAGATAAAACCCTAATCATATTCGGCTCCCCTAGGGTTCCTCCTAAACCGCCTAAAACCGGCTAAACCTGGTTCTCATTAACCGAAATTATATTCAGCTTTAACCGATTAAATCACAGCTATTAAACCGACATCATGTTCGGGGTAACTAAAACCATACCCTTTAAAATTTACTATTTCCGAGAAAGTTCCCTCTAATAGAAAGTTTCCTCATATAAAAACTTTCCTCATATAGAAATTTTCCCGACATAGAAACTTTCCTCATTTAGAAAATTACCCAAATTAGAAACTTTCCAAATTTAGAAACTTTCCTAAAATAGAAATATTCTCAAAATAGAAAGTTTCATCATCAGCATTCAAAATTTTCTCAAAACAATCCCTAACAAAATCAATCTCATGTTTCAGATGTCAAACATTCAGAAATGTGAATTCGAGGCCCTTCACGTCTCCGGGGATAACTACCTCGAGTGGGCCCTAGACATGCGCTTGTTCCTTGCATCGAAAGAACTCGATGCATGTATTACCGACGGTAACACCGCATCCCGTAAGGGACAGTCTCAGGCGATATGTCACATACGCCATCATCTGGCCCCGAGCCTTAAGCAGCAATATCTCACTCTTGAGAATCCACTTGAATTGTGGCAAGCGCTGAAAAAGCGATATGACCATCAGAAAATGGTCCAGTTGCCTCAGGCAGATTTCGACTGGAAGAACCTTCGGTTCCAGGACTACAAATCCGTAGATGATTACAACAACGAACTCTTTCGTATTGTTGCCATCCGGAAACTCTGTGGCGAGGATGTGACAGATAATGATCTCCTCGAGAAAACATTATCCACATTCAGCACAGAGAATGTTGTGCTCCAACAACAATACCGTGCAATGAAACACACATTGTACGAAGACTTGTTGTCCTGTCTTCTCCTCGCTGAGAAGAATAACCAGCTGCTTATGAGGAACAGCGCTATGAGGCCCCCGGGATCGGCTCCTGTCCCAGCTTCTCGTCAAGAGTCCTACCATGTTCAACCCGATAGATCCTCAGATCACCGCCGTGGACGTGGTAATGGACGTGGTAATGGCCGAGGACATGGACGTGGAAGACGTGGACGCGGACATGGTCGTGGCAACCGACCTAACCTCAGTTATGGTCCTGGTCGTGGTCGAGGCATCACCAAGCCGACCCGCCACACCAACCCCGATCACTGTGCTTGTACCAGATGTGGGATGTTCAACCACCCAACAAAGCAATGTCGCACCCCCAAGATCCACTGCGATCTATACCAGAAGTACGGAAAAGCTCCTGCTGAAGCCAACATGACTCAGCCAGTCGATGCTGCTAACCTGGAAGGTGACGACCTCCTTGATGATGAGAACACCACAAACGAGCAGACCGACCCCATGGACTATGAAACAGCTGATCTCCTCGATTAATTCAATCATCTGAAACTCTGATACAATTTGACTTTGTTCTTTATTTTTTTCATTTTGGGATTTGTTTCATTTTTTTTCCATTTGCCTTTATTCTCAGACACTGCTTTACTTTATGATTTATCACATTTTCTGAATTCCTCAATACTGAATTCTATCTTCTATTCATAATGAAGCACACCAGCAAATGGAAACCATAGTCGTAGATAGTGGATCCAGCCACACTATCTTAAGAAACAAAAGTTACTTCATAAACCTAACCTATCAAACCGCAAATATTAGCACCATCGCGGGTCCCTCAAACCTTATCGAAGGATATGGCCATGCCTATGTGTTGCTGTCAAATGGCACACAACTTGAAATACCAGATGCTCTATATTCTCCTAGTTCGAAGAGAAATCTTCTGAGCTTCAAGGATATAAGACAGAATGGTTTCCACATAGAAACCCAAGGTCAAGGGAACAAAGAATCCCTCCTAGTCACTAAAACCGTAGACGGCCATAAACAAATCCTCGAAACCATACCCGCGCTCTCTACTGGACTTTACCATGCTAAAGTCAGTATGATTGAAGCTAATACCACTCTCAAAGCCCGGTTTACTGATTATACTATTTGGCACGACCGGCTCGGTCATCCCGGTGCAAATATGATGCGTAAACTAATTCAAAACTCTCAAGGGCATACCCTCAAAGAAAACCGAGCTTATCCTCAACACCTCATGTGCACAGCTTGTTCTCAAGGCAAATTGATCACTCGGCCTTCACCAGTTAAAACCTCTAAACAAACACTTCATTTCCTAGAAAGAATCCAGGGCGATATCTGTGGACCTATACATCCATCTTCCGGACCATTCCGGTACTTCATGGTCCTTATAGACGCATCGACCCGTTGGTCATATGTTTGTCTCTTGTCCTCTCGGAACCAAGCCTTCGCTAGGTTCTTGGCCCAAATCATCAAATTGCGGGCCCATTTCCCTGACTTCCCACTAAAGACTATCCGCCTTGACAATGCTGGTGAATTTACCTCACAAGCGTTTAATGACTACTGTATGGCCATGGGGGTAACCGTGGAACATCCTGTAGCACATGTCCATACTCAAAATGGATTGGCTGAATCATTCATTAAACGCATTCAATGGATAGCCCGACCATTACTCATGAGATCAAAGCTCCCGGCCTCAGCATGGGGACATGCAGTATTACATGCTGCTGAACTCATACGCATCCGGCCATCTAGTGAACACAAATATTCCCCATCCCAACTACTCTCGGGTCATGAGCCAGACATCTCCCATCTCAAAACATTTGGGTGTTCAGTATATGTACCCATTGCTCCACCACATCGAACCAAAATGGGACCTCAAAGAAGGATGGGAATATATGTTGGTTTTGACTCTCCCACCATCATAAGATATCTCGAGCCAACCACTGGAGATCTCTTCAAGGCCAGATATGCGGATTGCCAATTCGATGAATCGGTATATCCCTCTTTAGGTGGTGAGACAAACAAGCTGGTCAAAGATCTTTCATGGAATCAAACATCATTAAATTGGCAAGATCCTCGGACTCTAGAATGTGATTCAGAGATCCAAAAGATTATTCATTATCAAAAGCTAGCTAATCAATTGCCAGATTCCTTTGCTGACCCGACCAAAGTAACCAAATCGTACATCCCAGCTTGTAATGCACCAGTACGAATAGCTGTCCCAACGGGACAGACCCAAGTTGCTACAGAGTCTGCACCACGTCTCAAACGGGGCAGACCTCTCGGTTCCAAAGATAAGAATCCCCGGAAATCAAAGAAAGGTGCAATAACCGAAACCGGGATTCCTGCAATATCAGACATAGCCGCGGCTGAGACTCAATCTAATGAACCCTCAATGGAAGTTCGGGACGCCGAATCTCCAGGTTCAGAAGATAACAATGAGATCTCCATCAATTACAATATGTCCGGAATACAATGGAATCGAAAAGAAGTCGACTTAAATGCACTCTTTGCATACAAAGTAGCACTTGATGTTGTGCTCACGCAAGAGGATCTAGAACCCACGTCAATAACACAGTGTACACATCAAACAGATTGGCTAAAATGGAAAGAAGCCATAAACGTGGAGTTAAAGAGTCTCAAACTCAGAAACGTGTTCGGTCCGATCATCCGGACCCTATCACACATCAAGCCAGTGGGCCACAAATGGGTCTTTGTGCGTAAAAGGAACGAACTCGGTGAAGTCGTTCGATACAAAGCACGGCTTGTAGCACAAGGATTCTCACAGAGACCCGGAATTGATTATGAGGAGACTTATTCTCCAGTGGTGGATGCAACAACATTCCGATTCCTCATAAGTCTGGCCATAAGAGAAAATCTTGATCTGCGGTTAATGGATGTTGTAACCGCATATCTCTATGGGCCCCTGGACAACGAAATATATATGAGACTCCCAGATGGCATTGAACTAAAAGACAAAAATGCATCTCGAGATCAATACTGCATCAGGCTGAACAAATCCTTGTATGGACTGAAACAAAGTGGGCGTATGTGGTACAACCGCCTCAGCGATTACCTCATCAAAGAAGGCTACAAAAATGACCCCATCAGTCCATGCATCTTCATCAAGAAGTACTCAAACAAAGGATTTGTAATCATAGCAGTATACGTGGATGATCTAAACATCCTCGGAACATCTGGTGAGATCTCCCAAACAGTCGACTGCTTAAAAGCAGAATTCGAAATGAAAGACCTAGGCAAAACAAAGTACTGTTTGGGATTACAACTTGAGTACATCAAAGGAGGAATCCTTGTGCATCAATCGGCTTATATCAAAAAGGTACTCAAGCGATTTAATATGGACCAAGCTCACCCATTGACCAGCCCAATGGTAGTTAGAAGCTTAAGTGATGACCCTCTTGGTCCCAAAAAGGATGATGAAGAAATCCTTGGTCCTGAAAAGCCATACCTCAGTGCTGTAGGAGCGTTAATGTACCTGGCTAGTCACACTAGACCAGACATATGTTTCGCCGTGAACCTCCTCGCTCGATATAGTTCATCCCCAACTCAGAGGCACTGGAACGGTATAAAACATCTCCTAAGATACCTTCGAGGTACTCAAGACTTAGGACTCTTCTATACTAACCAAAATAAAGATGGGTTAGTCGGCTTCGCCGATGCAGGATATCTATCAGATCCGCACACTGCCAAGTCTCAAACTGGCTACGTTTTTACGCATGGAGGAACAGCCATCTCTTGGAGATCAATGAAGCAGACACTCACTGCCACTTCATCAAACCATGCTGAAATCCTAGCCATTCATGAGGCTAGTAGGGAATGCGTCTGGCTGCGCTCCATGACTCAGCACATCCGCAGAGATTGTGGTATGGACGAAGACACACAGCCCACGGTGATGTATGAAGACAACGCGGCATGCATAGCTCAGCTCAAGGAAGGATATATCAAAGGAGATCGGACGAAGCACATTCTACCGAAGTTCTTCTCAACCTCAGACTGGCAGAAGGACGGCACTCTCAGCGTTCAGCAGGTCCGATCCAGTGAGAATTCAGCTGACCTCTTCACCAAATCATTGCCTACTTCAACACACCGGAAGCTCGTCAAACAGATAGGAATGTATAGACTTAGAGATCTGCAGTGATGCTACAATCAGGGGGAGTAATGCGTGTTGTACTCTTTTTCCTTCACCATGGTTTTGTCCCACTGGGTTTTTCCTGGTAAGGTTTTAATGAGGCAACATTCCCCAGCGCATTATCGAGATCCCGATTGAGTAGCTGGCCTGGTTCACTCGTCCAAGGGGGAGTGTTATAACACATATCATATATGGACTCTTATACCGGTCCATTAGGCCTATCAGGGCATTGTACTTAACCTAGATTCCCTATGTACTCTATATATACATTCTAGTGATTAATAAAGTTTCTAAGTTTTCACAACATATACTATTAAATGAGAAGCACATTTTAAAAATTACTTTAAAAGCGTTTAACACTACAAAGAATGTCATTGGATAATATGTAATTTTAATCAATTTATAAAGAAAGAATAGTGATTCTGAATATCTTTACATTTTGGTTCTCTGGTTTCGCCTCGTCAAACGCTGTTTAAATGAGATTGAATATCTTTTTATATCTTTCTTAATTATGGCTGGAATCTTCGACAACCATAACAAAGAAAAAAGTATCATGGGATGAAGTTGGTTATTCGAAAGAATGGTTTACGGTTTCGTTACACTTTGAGAAATCAAGATTCCTTTTGGTTTCTTGGACGCCGCAATATCTCCGAAGCAACACTCTTTTTAGGATGTCCGTCATAGATCTCTAAATTCTTGGATTTGGAGAAAACTCGTTAAGCCTCACGATCAAGCTGCATGAAATGAAATGGTGAATGCATGAAATATTGGCCGGATTTATAGCTTTGCGGGTGATGCTTTTCCTCGTAACCTTGGTATTCAGATGTTTGGTTCATTTTTAGAGATATTGTCACCCTTAACTCCGGGCGATGGAAACTTTCGAGGTCCTGATTGATATCCATTTGGTGCCAATCCCCCGATGTTTGCAAGCTTTCTTTCTTGGCACGTCACACTTGGGACCAGATTCGAACCAAATGATAAGGCACCCTAGTTCAGAACATGTGGTACGCTAAAGCAGTTCCTTGTTCCTCGTTTATTTTTTGGCCTGTGGTTAAGTTCCTTAAGGATCGCTTAGCTTGTTAGCTATTGGTTCTCATATCCGTCAATGAGAACAACCTCTCAAGCTTACATCCTTTTTGGTAAACCTGATGAGACTAGTTAGCTATTGGTTCTATTTTTGTCCATATCCATCATTTGCTTGGCCCTAAGGTTACTACAGATTGAATAGAAACGCTGCATTATATGAGATCTCAACAGCTTCGGCTTCTTGACAAGGTACTCATTTGTATGGTCTTCCAAGCCACGATAGACCATGTTTAGAGAGAATGAAATGGTCACCGCACCAGCTACTTTGGTGTCATTGACAAAGTGGTTCATGATCACATTATCTCGCTCCATTTCACGGAGATCACCAAAAGTACGAGGACCTTCTAAACCATTAGTACTCCATTCGAAACTAGCAATAGTTAAGGCTTGATTTGTTTCTCCGTTGTACTAGTTGGCTTTAGATTCCACTTCAGAAATTGTAAATAACCTAATTAATTTTTTCAATATATATATATATATACAAATAAATATATAATCATAATAATAATTGAAAAAAATCTTTTACATGGGTCGATAACCTGATGGAATGAAAAAGTCCATGTAACATATTTAAGATTGAACATAACAAGTAATACTCGACCAAGAAAACCTGTAAATTTCCGATCAAGTTTTTCGTTGGAAAGTCATCGGAAACACGTACTTTCGATGGTTTTCCGACAAAAAAAAATTGGTCAGAACAGAATATGAACCTCAGAAATGAAATTTTGTTGAAATTTTGTCGAAATTTTGTCGAAACATATCTGAAAAAGTCGTTTCTCGGTAAGTCATCATAAACGGTGGTTGGAAATTTCTCGGAAATTCCCGATGAATTTCTGAGAAAATAATATATTAATCAAAAATTCCTCGAAAAAATTCCGAGAACTTTTCGACAAAATCAACCGGAAAGTCACCGAAATTTTTCCGACAAAATTTTCCGACAAAATAACCATGACAATACAATATCTTATTTTCAGAAAATAATAAGTTTATTTTATTTTCCAAGCGTAGTCGTTGAGTATACAGTAGTTAAGGTATAGGGCTGTATTTGTTTAGTGTTTAGTAATTTATAGAAATTAGTTTGTCATGGTTATCATAGTTGTCCTAGTTGTCCTAATTGCCTTATTTGTCATAGTTGTCCTAATTGTCCTAGTTGCCCTATTTGTCATAGTTGTCATAGTTGTTCTAGTTGCAGCTACTTTGTCTTAGTTGCCCTAGTTGTCCTATCTGTACGTAGTGTGCCTGGGTTTAGGACGTAGTTGCATCTAGTTGCACCTAATTGCACCTAACTGCCCTGTTGACATTCTCCAGATCCAAAAAATTCGAAATATACATTACTCATGAATACAGAATACTGCAAGATATCAGAGATAATGAATGTACTTATGAACTACGTCACATCTCCTTAGACCTAGCTCTGACCGCTCTGACCCTCTTTACCCTCT